CCTCTGGGGCCTGGGGCAGCCGTTGCCTCGCTGGTGTCTTTAAAACAGCAACTGCTCAGCTTGGGGAGGGCTCGCTGATGTTAGGGGGGGACAGGCACCGGATCGCGGGTCCCGCGGGGCGGCTCTGCCCGCCCTCCCTCCCCGAGTGCTTCACTCTGTGACACTTCAGGGCTGCTGGCGTGATGTAAAAGGTTGATTTCGGGAGAGGGACGGTCTCTTGCCCCAAATAACCATTTCCCTTGGTAAAAATACTTTGGTGCGTGCCCCTCTCTGCCCTAACCCTAACCCTGACCTGCCCTCAGGTTAGCTTTTCCCCGGCCCTGAGCAGGGGCAGGCCCTAGCATGACGTCAGAGGCACAGGGCGTGACGTCAGAGGCACAGGGCCTGGGCCCGAGTCCTTGGGAGGTCAGAAGCACCCCCATTAAGTCCTTTCTCTGGTGACAAGCGTCAGCCCTGTCCAAGGCGTTAAGGCAGCCACTCGCCCAAGGTGGCGGGGTGAGCGGTGCCCAGCTCTGCCTGCTCTAGAAAGGAAACCTGACGGTGCCTTCGCTTCCCCGCAGCGCTGCACCTGTCCCTGCTGTTCTCCCAGGAGCATGGCTTACTCCTCTTTATCCACAGATCGCTTGGCATCGAGGAGGTAAGTCCGTAAACTTTAAAGAAAATTTGAGATAGTGCTAAATGAACAGCATGTTAGAACTAAATTTTTTTTTTTTTAACTTTTCAGTTTCGAGATTGCAGGGAAGAAGCGTTGAAGTTTCTTTGTGTCTTCATGGAAAAAGTTGGTGACAAAGTTCACCCTTATGCCTGTAATATTAAGGTGAGTAAAGGAAAATTATTTCCTAACTGTCTTTGCCAAATGGTTGAAACAATTCTGGTGGGTGTAATACCGTAACAGATTAGTAACTATCCTTCACCCCTCCCAGTCTGCCTTACCCATCTCTAGGTTCTTGTTAGAGCTGAAATAACTTGATTGACATAAAGTGTAATTAATACAACAGAGAAATACGGAATTGTTTCTTCAGCTATAGACTTAATTTTATTAACTTGTCTTTATAGAATATAATAGGTGTTGATTTTGAAAATAAGTTATTGACATTGAAAATTATAGTTATAACTTTTAATTTGTACAGACTGAATTCATAGTTTAAGTGTAATATTTTAAATGTTTCTATAGGTGATGGTTAATTTTAAATACTGATTTTTAAAATTTTTTCCTGCAAAGTTGTTACTTCTGCAGTATATACAGAAATTAGTGGAAACTACAATACCTCTGAAAATGAGGTGCCCTGAGTCTGGATTGCTGAATAATACTGCTTTGCATAGAAATGCTTGACTGCACCACTGCACTTTCTGATCTCAAATTAGTAGCAACGTATTGTAAGGCATGATAGTACAGAGGCGGAAAATTTGCTATGTGTGCTTTTTATTCCAGAAACCACGCTTTTTTGCTTGAGCTGGGATGTGTTATTATGTCAGGCAGTGCTTCAGTGTTCTCAGTGAAGCCACTTTCAGGACTGAACATTTTTATTGTTCTAGTCTTTTTTTAAAAACCTTAAACTTGTTAGGCACTGATACTTTAAAGAGGTAGATGACTACATTGTTATCTTTGAATTCCCTTGTCTACTTATGAGTATTATAATCTGCATTTTCTTTCCTATCTAGCAAACTTGTATTAGTGTTTATACCAAAGACAGAGCAGCAAAATGTAAAATCCCAGCTCTGGAACTTCTGATTAAGGTAAAATGCACTTTATAAATCTGTCGTTTCTAGAAAAAGTAGAAAATCTGTTGTATTACTATAGTTGTGCTATATCATGCAGAAAATCTGTAGTCTGCAGTAGCAAGAGAATAGTGATAGTATAATATTTAGATGTTAGTAAGAGATATGTCTTAACAATAGATGGTTTTCGATATTCCTCCAGTAGGTTGCTTAGATGTGAGCATGTCATTCCTTCATCTGCTAGAGCAAGACACGATTGTTTTAGGCGCAGTTGCAGATCTTCTCTCTCCCACTTTATTATGGCTCTTTAAGTGAGAAATTTTGCAGTTCAGTTGTATTCTTACTTAAAATATTATGTATTAATATATTATATTGTAGACAGTATGCGAAAGGTATGGAGGAGGAGAAGGGCTTTTTTTCAGAAGTTTGATGACTCACAGTATGTGTGAGACAGTAATTTCATAACGTGCTTCCTTGGAATGCATTAGACCCTTGTTTTGCAAATGCTTTTACACCTACTTAATTTTGTTTATGAGAAACAATACTCCCTTCTGAGTTACTCTGAGACAGTTCTTCTGTGAATTGGATTGGCTTTATAGCAGCAGGGAGAGTGATACAGTATGATAAAAGCTACTGCCGAGTTGATAAGCCTGTGCTCTTGTGGGTTTTTTTTAATTATGTATAATTATACTATGTATAATTTTCATGTAAATAATGTATATATAATATGTATAATATACATTAAAAAAATAAATTTTATGTTTATACATACATAGGAAGGTAGTTTGTTGTTAAAGTAGATTTCATGCCAGTACTCCTTCCTGGACCAGTCACCTTAAATCTCTTTCATTGAATAGCATACTTAAGCTGAAGATACACATATGAACGATGGTTTTTTTTTATTTAGACCAAGTAGAATTGTGGTAGTAATATTAATGATTTTCCTAAATTTTCATTTTTTTTAATCTCAGTTGCTCCAAAGTTTACGACGTTCCTGTCTGATGGAAGAAATGAAAGTTGGGGAGATATTTAATAAATTTTATGGGGAACTTGCCACAAAAACTAAAATTTCTGATACAGGTAGGCTTTAGTATTTCTGTCAATGTCCTTTGTTTTATTTACATACAGTTTTTGTTGGATTATACCCCATGGAAATGTATAATTGTTATTCCCGTGGCAAGTGTCTTTAAAAATGGTAGCTGTCATGTTTTAGAGCT